ATGTGTTTGTATTTCACAAGTGTGTCACTCAGACACCAAGTAAGGTGTCCTTGATCCTACCCAGAGGTTGGCAGCCTTTCTGAGCCTGGAGAGTTACCAGAGGACACAGGCTTTGCTTATAGGTATGCCTGGGAGAAAGGCAAAACGGGGGGACAGAAATGAGGTTAGGGAGAGAACAAGCCACCTGGTGTCTCCTTCCATCCTGTGCTTTTTCTGGAACCCACCTTGTTTAAATGCTAGTCACCTCTTCCAGGTAGCCTTCCCTGGTTGCAGCTGGTACAACTTCCCTCTCTTATCCACACTCAACACTTGCTATATGCCTATCTCAGGCGATGCTGATCTTTTCCCCTCTGGCCTGCAGGCTCATTCACTTACACATTCCTGGGCCCCGCAGGACCCTGTGTTTCAAACTCTAGGTCACTATTACGGGTCTGGATGCCAATTTAAAGCTATCGGTTCCCAAAATTACCTGAGAAGAATCACCCGGGGCTGATGTTAAATACATACAGGCCAACTGGCCTCTCCCTTGGAAATTCTGATTTAGTCTGTTTGGGGACTGGTGGTCTATTTTTTAACCAAACTTCTAGGCCACACGATCTAGGTCAATGTTTTTGACTCTGTCGTGTGCACACAGATCACCTGGTGAACCTGCCTTTCTAACAAACTCCTAGTCGATGCTGGAGCTGCAGGTCTACGGACCACCACACATCGTTGGGCCAAATTCAGGAGATTCTTATCTTCAGGCGCACTGGGGAAGCAAGGATTTAGTGCAATTGGTCTCGACCTCGGCACACCTGGGGACCTTTTAAAATATACTAAGGTCCAGGTCCTACTGCAAACCAGTTAAATCAGAATGGGGGGACAGGTTTTGTTTTGTTTTTAAAACTTCCCAGATGATTCTAATCAGAAATGGGTTTGCAATTTAGTAGAATTTAGTAGGTACCCACCAGCATTAAAATACATGAATGAGTAAATGGAAGAGAACAATCTCACAGACTGGTGGGTAAAACCTTGGTCTCGGTCATATGTGTCACAGATACAGATGCATGGGAGTTGCTGGATTATAGCAGGAGAGAGGCAATGAGCAAGGAGAGAGGCAGTTCACAGACCAGCCATGGGGACAGACAGACTGCACGGTTCAAGGACATGGGGTCGGGGCAGGGAAGGCAGGGCTGACAGCACCAGGGGGCTCTGTGGCATGAGGTAGTGAGGTCAGGTCGGGGCAGCAGTAACAAGAAGCCTCTGTTTGAACTGAATAATAAAGGATGAACAAGATATTGTCATAAAGCAAGCAGAGCCTTCTAGACACAGAGGACAAAATGTACGCAGGTTTGGGGGCGTGTAAAGGAATGCATCAAGTTCAGGGTTGGGAACACCCAGTGGCTGGCCGTGTGGCCAGAGCCTGAGGGGTGTGAAGCGGAGTGGCAGAGACAGACAGAAGATGATTGCAGGGGCCTGGGAAAAAGCCGAATAGAAGGGAAGGTCACTGACCCCTTGTTAGAGGATGACCTCAGATAACCTCCTCTGGGCAGAGCCACTCACAGTAGCTGAGACTTCACTGACAGCTTGTGTAAAACTGTTCTTGTGGACCTAAGGGCCCATGGAGTCTGATGGTACCAGACAACTGTCTAGAAAACATTTTTTTTTGAGGAGGAAGTAGAGGGTGCTTAAGTAAGGATCCATCAGCGACATTCCCATGTCCCTTCTCCCAAGAACCCACATCCTCCCTTTTAATAGCTCTGCTCTCCACCAGCATCTCATTTTGGCAAACATCTAAGCACTCTTTTTGCCAAGCACTGAGTTAGTGGACCAGGAAGGAGATAGCTCTGCCCTCATGAGCTGGCAATGGGAAAGAGTCACCTTCATGAGTGACTACAACGTAGGACAGGATGTCAGAAGTACCCCAAACTCTGTGCCATCAGAAGGCAGAGGCAAGAGCAATCAGTTTTTCTGGGGTGATCAGGGACGCTTCTAGGAGGAGAAGGGAAAATGAGCTCAAAGAGCTAATATGTTTGGTGAAGATTCAATGGTGAAAGGGAAACAGGCTTAATGTATACAGGGATTTGAAAAACACTGAGGGCTGGGCGCGGTGGCTCACGCCTGTAATCCTAGCACTCTGGGAGGCTGAGGCGGGAGGACTGCTTGAGCTCAGGAGTTTGAGACCAGCCTGAGCAAGAGTGGGACCCCCATCTCTACAAGAAATAAATTAGCCAAACAACTAAAAATAGAAAAAATTAGCCAGGCACGGTGGCTCATGCCTATAGTCCCAGCTACCTGGGAGGCTGAGGCAAGAGGATCACTTGAACCCAGGAGTTTGAGGTTGCTGTGAGGTAGGCTGACGCCATGGCACTCTAACCTAGGCAAGAGAGTGAGACTCTGTCTCAAAAAAAAAAAAAACAAAAAAACAAAAAAACACTGAGACTGCATGTGGCTGAAGCCCAAAATGCATCTGGAGGTGGAGGTGGATAGACGGGGCAGGGGAGGCAGGACAGAGCCCTATACACAAAGTTAAGGGGTTTGGATTTATTGGGGAGGCAAGAGGGAACCATCAGAGGTTTTTAAGTGGAGGGACATGATCACGCCTAGGTTAGAGGATATGAAGAACAGTTTAAGGGGCTGAATAATGAATGAAAGAATGGGTGGAAGAGGACAGAAATGAAGGGCTATTTTTACAACAGATCCTGAATCCAAAAAGAGGGTTTTGATTTCAAACATTCATATGCCAAGAAGAGCCAATTAAGGGCCTGGGGGTTTCTGACAAGGAACCCAGGGCTGGAGAGGCAGAGGTCTGCGCTGTGGCCTGCAGCATAAAAGAAACAGACTGGCTCCGCTCCAGCCCCGAGTGGGATTTTCTCACTCTTTTGAGTCTGTTGTGCCCAGTTGTGTGTTTAATTTCAGTCTTTTCCTTCTGTTCAGGTTTTACCACAGGAGAATAACCCCTCTCCATTCTAATCTGAAATTAATTATTTATGCTTATGAACATGCTGGATGTCTGCCTGGTTTATTTATTTTTCGAATAATACATCTGAGTAGGAATTCACGCAAGACAGAGCAAACATAATTTTGAGGTAAATGCCCTTTCCAACTGTTGCCCAATTCATTGTTCTAAACCATTGTGTAGCCTTGTCATTATCCTGTAGAGTCCAAATCTATCCCTTGCACACTCACGAGATGCCTGGTGCCTGCAATTGACAGATTCGCACTATCAGGCCCCAGCACCTGACCTTTACAATCTTATCTTCTGCCACTATGACTTTCTCCTCTGATTCAAATTCCACCCATTCATCCTCCAAGGCTCAGTTCAAACACCTCCTACTCTATGAAGCCACCACTGGTTCTCCCTCAAGGGAAAAGTCCCCTCCCTCATGCTTCTGAGTTTCGTTTTGGTTTTGTAAACCCTAGCTGGCATACTGTAGGTGCCCCAGCGGAGTGTCTGTTGTGACAGGAAGTAGTGTGATCAACACCCAGAGAAGCAGTTACATGCAGCGGCTCAGGCAGGGCTAGGCAGACCAGACACAGTTTGGGAGTCAGTGTCTACAAAGAGCTCTTGGGAGAAGTGGGCAGGGAAAGTCACCCACCAGGACCTGATCCCCCGCAACCTGCACTCTGGTGGGGTTACCTGCTGGACTAGCTCCAAGTAAAGAGCATACACTTCCCACATTCGACAAGCCTCCTGAAGCACCTCTCCTCTCCAGGCCGGCCTTTGTTTCCTTCAATTCCTCACATCTGTTATGTGCGTTAGAGTTTGCAAGTGAGAATCAGAACCATTATTCCCAGTGATTCTCACAACAGCTGAGGGATGCATCGTACAAGGCAGGGGTAATACTTTTCCGACAGGGATTTGGTGCTGGGGGACCAGTGACTTGTCCAAGGACACTCTAGGAAGTGTCAGAGCTCTGACTTTGACCCAGACCTCCTAAGTCTCGGTGCAGTGCTCCTTCCAAGAGCCAGCAGGTATTCTGAGCTCCAAAGGAAAAGGCGCTTAAAAGTGATTTGTATGTTTTAAAGCACGCACAAGGTGTTCTGTCAACTGCGGTATGTGACCAAACGCCACTTCGAAGGTTTGAGGTCACCTAACCAACGCTACTCAGAGGAGCCAAGACGGCACTTTCGAATCTTTCGGGCACGTGCTTGCCACCTGCAACCAACAATGCCTGGACTCCTCCGGCAGGCAGCGTGCTAAAAAACGCGTTGGCTGTTTCTGGCACGGTGGGGCCACCGTACAGCATCAAGGATACGGTCTCCAGTCTAGCGGTGCCCCAAAGCGCCTGACGACAGGTGTGATGGCGTCACCCTCTACCTGCCCTGGTGCGGCAGTCAGCAGCCAGAAATAGTGCGTCGCTTGGTGGTTCGCGGGTTTTGGGAGAGGAGGCGGGGCGGTGTCTTCCTCACGTGATCTGAGCGGCGCCGAGCGCGTCGCTTTACGCCCCGCCGCACCAGGGTCGGTCAAGGTCTGCGCCTGCGCGGGCGCCGGCTTGCGGGTTCTCTCGTTTGCTCGCGGTCTTGTGGGACGCCCGGGGCGATGGGTGAGTGCAGGGGCGGGCGAGGGAAGCACTGGGCTCCTCTCGGCCTCTGGTTGGAGAGATGCACAGCATGAAGAAGGGTCCGCGGGGGCGGCCGGCAACCCTGGGGCTCACCCCTGTCCTGCGCGCGCCCCGCTGCTCAGGCGCGCCCCAGCTTTCCAGGCCGGCGACTGCGGGCCCCACCCTGGCGGCGAGCGCGGAACACTTCTGAGCCTCCTCCTTCTCCGTCCTTCTCCCTCTCCCTCCTGCCGCCGGTATCTGTGTGGGCGAACTTTCCCGGGAAGGAGGCTGTGCTTTCATTAGGGCGCAGGCACCTCCCCGGAGCTCACAAACAGCAAGGACGGGGAGGGGCCGGGCTTTCCCTGCACTTGGGGAGAGCGGCGCTGGCACAGCGGAGCGGCTCTTGCCCCTCGGGAGGCTGGGATTCTGGCCTTCTCACTCCGGGACCCCTGACTCTGGAGTGTCAGAGACGAAAGGGGCCTTAGTGATCTTGTCCACCCCCCTGCCCCTTTTTAACGGGTTGGGGAAATGGACGCCTGGAGAACGGTAAGTTCCTCCACATAGTCTTGCAGTGCTTCTTCTGCGACACCATATTGCAATGCATTATAGGAAAGTCAGTCGTACGAGGCTTTTCCGAGACGGGGTTGTTGTTAATTATTAGTCTGTGTATCAGTTATTTGGTGTTACTTGATGGAGTATGTCGACATTTCAGCTATATTTACCCTTTCTGCATAACCTTTATTTTGCCCCTTACAGCCCTATACAGCTGGTTTTAATTACCACCTTCTGTTTCTCTACCTGTAATCTGTGAAACAGAAGCCCTTGAACTAACTGTATAGTGACCTTGCCACTTTGGGCCGCCTCTACCGTTGCTTTGAAAGGATTCTGTAGAGTCAAAAGCTGCCTAGGAATTCGTCAGGTTCCATAGTGGTTCAGGGCACAGGTTAGGCGCTTTGGAACACAAATCATCCTTAGCGCACCTCAGGGGAAAGTAACAGTTTGTCATAGAAAACTCAGCTGTTCTTTATAGGAAAATAAACTCTGAGAGGAGTTGACTCATCTGGTCTCTCGTATGGTAGATGAAAGTAAGCTCAGATTAGTGGATTTTTAGTTTGTAGACATTGCTTTGTATTTATAGTGGCAAGATAGTCATAGCCAGGACTAGACCCAGGCCGATCTTGTTCTCATTGCTGAGTCAGACCTGCTGACTAGTGGAAATTCACATCCTTTGAGAATTACAGTGACCCTCTCCCCAGTTTTTGCACAAAGACCTTTGTGCTGGGATCATAGCTGGTTGTGCTTATCCATGTGGGCTGTAAATTACAGTGAGTATTTAGACTTTACGCTCTTTTCTTACACCACATAAGTTTGACACTTTTAGTTGCTTGAAAGTCAGGATAACTTTGCTTCTGTAAGTTGAGACAGGTTGAGTGTTTTAGATAGCAAGCAAGTGTAAAGTCATGGTAAATAAATTTTGCAATAAATTGCAAAGACTTGTTGATGTTAAAGGATTTAAATGTAGAGATTAGTTTAGCAAAGAAATTTAGCCATGTTGACAGTATAGGTAAACATGCAAAGTTCTAAACTCCATTCCAAAAAATACTGTGCACACTCTCCTTCTATTGCTAAATTAAGAACCTGTTGATGCCATCCTGGTGTGTAGGATGAAACTAGAAGAAAAGCTTTAAATATTATGAAGTCTGGGAGGGTTTCATAACTTTTCTTTTTCCTATCTAGGCCTATTTTTTAAATCTGAGACTCTCAGTATATAGTAATGTTGGTCAATAAATGACTGGGGCCGGGCGCGGTGGCTCACGCCTGTAATCCTAGCACTCTACGAGGCCGAGGCGGGCGGATTGTTGGAGCTCAGGAGTTCAAGACCAGCCTGAGCAAGAGAGAGACCCCGTCTCTACTAAAAAAAATAGGAAGAAATTATCTGGACAACTAAAAAAATATATATATAAAAAAAAAAAAATTAGCTGGGCATGGTGGCGCATGCCTGTAGTCCCAGCTACTCGGGAGGCTGAGGCAGTAGGATCGCTTGAGCCAGGAGTTTGAGGTTGCTGTGAGCTAGGCTGACGCCACGGCACTCACTCTAGCCCGGGCAACAGAGTGAGACTCTGTCTCAAAAAAATAAATAAATAAATAAATGACTGGGTAGTAATGGTCTCCATTATTACAGACAGTCATGACAAACTAGATGAAGTGACCTTAACTTGGAAAATTTTGGAAAGTGATACAAGTACCACTCCAGTAAAAATTAAAAATAAACTTTTTATTGTTCAAGTGCACAAATAACTTGATTTGTATAGTCAAGGAACATATATAAACAGCTTGTAGGTGGTGACTTTAGAATTTAAAATACATGTTTAGTATGTAAAAATGTAATATTTTTTTCATTCACCACTGATCAGAAGAATGAAATGTTTTTGACATTTATGAATTGTCACAATATTGTGTAATTATGTGTACATTAATCTAAATATTTTTCTTGATTTTAACATTGTTTAATTCTGAAACTCTGAAGTGCAAAGCATTATGTAGGTATCATGCATTTCTATACTAAATTTTAGATTTTTAAATATTGGTTAATCTTAGATTGATAAGTGTAATACTAATGAGCTTTTAACTTTTGGCTGAAACACTAAAAAAAAAAATGTAGTAGACTAAATGATAAATAATTATCAAACTCAATACCTTGACAAACTTCTCAAGCATCTGCAGAACATATTTTAAATTTGATTATATTAAGTCCTAAAACCTCAGTACATTAAGGAAGGGAAGGGAGAGAAGAAATGGATAACATTCTGGGACCTCTTTTTAAAATCCTATTTTTATTGCAAATAACAGCACTAAACTGGCTAACTAAAGATTTTAGGGCACTTATAAGCAACTAGAGTAAAATAAAATGCTAACTATCTTAAAAAGTAATGAGTTTTGCTCAGAGGAAAGTGCCTTGAATACAAATTATGAAACAGTATTCTTAAGAATAAATTGAAATAACTGTCTAACTTAGGAATTAGAAGAAATAAGCCCAGACAAAGCAGGAAAGGAGATAAGAAAGAGGAAAAGCAAATTTAAAAAATTTTAAACTGAGAAATAGCAAAACTGGTCATTCAAGAGCTGGTTCTTTGCTGGGAGTGGGAGGGTTATAAATTAGATAAACTGATTACTCTGCTCAAGAAAGAAGGGAGCATAAATATACAAGGTTACAAAATAATTTTTTAAAATAGCAAGTGCTTTATAAGACTATATAAATCAAACCAGGTTTTTTTTTTTTTATTTTTAAGGAAATCCAGTTATCAAAATTGACTCCAGAAGAGAGAACCTAACAGACCAATAACAATGGAAGAAATTGGGAAAGTTATCAAAAAGCTGTCATCTGACAAAACACCAAGCCCAGATGGTGTTACAGGTAAATTTCTTTAAACTCTCAAGGAACAGATCATTTTGATAAGATTTAAATTGTTCCACAATATAAGGAAGGAAAAAAATCACAAATACTTTCGTTCTACAAAGCCAGTGGAACATTGACACTGGAACTTGATGTGAAGCTAGTACTAAAATTGAAAACTTGATCTGTTGTGAAAAGTAATGTGAAATTTCAAAATGAAATATTAGTAAATGGAATTTAACACTATATTAAAAGAATATTTCACTGTGGCCAATTAAGATTCATCCCCATGTTACCAGGGTAAGTAATTACCAAGAAAAATGCTAACATAATACACCAGATAAAGACATTAGAAAAGAATAATAATAGCTCGCCCTTGTTGGGTATCTATTATACTCCATACTGCTCTCCTGGGTGCCTTACATGTTATTAACTCAATTGAGCCAGCCTGTGAGATAGGTAGCATCTCTAATTTATAAACAAGGAGATTAAGCCAGTGGTCCCCAACCTTTTTGGCACAAGGGACTGGTTTCATGGAAGACAATTTTTCCATGGACAGGGTCGGGAGGGGGATGGTTTTGGGATGATTCAAGCACATTACATTTATTGTGCACTTTACTTCTATTATTATTACATTGTAACTTTCCACTCACTGATAGGGTTTTGATATGATTTTGCAAGCAATTGATTTGTTATGGTCTCTGTGCAGTCACACCTCTCCTAATGATAATCTGTATTTGCAGCCACTCACCAATGCTAGCATCACTGCATCAGCTCCACCTTGCACAAACTAGATCCTTTGCATGCATAGTTTACTGTGGGGTTCGCACTCCTATGAGAATCTTATGCCCCTGCTGATCTGACAGGAGGCAGAGCTCAGGTGGTGATGCAAGTAATGGGGAGCCGCTGTAAATACAGATGAAACTTTGCTTGGTTGCCAGCCGCTCACCTCCTGCTGTGCAGCCTAGTTTCTAACAGGCCACGCCCAGGGCTTGGGGACGGCAGGACTAAGCCACGGAGACACTGAGTGACTTGTCAAAGGTCGCACAGTAGGTGTGTGGTGGAGCTAGGATTTGAACCCAGGCAGTGAGCAGGTACCAGAGGCTGTACTCTTAAATATTACACTGGCTCTACTTCTGGTGTCTGTGTGGTTATTTCAAGAACTCTCTAAAAGCATTTGAGGCCAGGCACGGTGGCTCACACCTATAAACCCAGCACTTTGGGAGGCCTAAGTAGAAGGATTGCTTGAGCTTGAGGCCAGGAGATTGAGACTAGCCTGGGCAATAGCAAGACCCTGTCTCTACAAAATATGGGAAAATTAGCCAGGCATGGTGGCCCACACTTGTAGTCCCAGCTGCTTGGGAGGGTGAGGCAGGAGGATCCCATGAGTATAGGAGTTGGAGGCTGCAGTGAGCTGAGATCATGCTACTGCACTATAGCCCAGGCAACAGAGCAAGACTCTGTCTCCAAAAAAAAAAAAACATTGACCAAAGTTCAAGGTACTTTCTTGAGTTAGTGGAGTTGGTTGAACTTCATTAAAACAAAAATAAATAAATAAATTTCCTTCACATGTTTAAAACTCCCTAAGATTATCAGTGGATCATTAGTACTAGAAAAATGGAATCCGTTTTTAATGGGAAACACAATTGCATAGTAAATAGTGGGGGACAGGGGCTTAAGTTATAATTGCAGCTATACTAATTTTTAAAATGAATATGGAATGAAGTTGTGGGTTTTTTAGCATGATTTGTAAGATGAAATTATATGATAGTACTGGGAAAACATCCTTCACGTTTGCAACAAATCCTAATGATGGGCAGGGATAGGTAATAAACAGGGAGGGATACTTGGGGGGAATAAATATTTTGTGGGTCAGTTGATCAGTGAACATTTTTGTGTCATGATTTGTTTCCTTATGTAAACTTGAAACTACAAGGACTTGGATTATGAACACTCCCTTTTCTCAGACCTAAAGCCAGCATCGTGCTTAATGGTAATCCCTAGGAGAATTCCCACAAACATCAAGAAAAATAGAAGGCTGTCCACTATTACTATAATTTTGTTTAGGAAGTATCTGCCGGTCTAATAAGATAGAAGAAAGAAAGATGTGTATTATAAAAAGAAGGCAGAATTATTTGTAAGTGATATTTTATATTGTGGAAACTAAAATTCACTAAAAAACTGAGAATTAGTGAGAGGATTCAATAAGTTAGTAGGTTCTTAACCTTAATACAGAAAAATTGGTAGCTTTTTCAGATACAGATAAAAACCAGTTAGAAAATTAATGGAAAGAAGCAACCCATTCATAATAATGACCAAAAAGGTAAAATACTTAGATATAAGAGATAGGATCTATGTAAAGAAAACGTTAAATGCTATAAAGTTCGTAAAAAGATATAAGTAAATAGGAAGTAAAATCATGTCCTTGTAAAGTTAAGATTCAATTTTGAAAAGGTGACCAGTTTTTAAAATTTATATATAAAGACACTTCTGCTGTAAAATATCAGTAGGATTTTGGGGAGGAATATAACAAAAATACACTGAAGTTTACCTGAGAAAAATGAGAAAAACCAAGAAAACTGTAATTCTGGTGAGAGTAGAGGGGGAAGCCCTACTAGATGATGAAATATATTCTAATGCTGCAATAGATTAGAATAGCTCAGTACTAGAGAAGAAATGTTAATACTAGGCTGTTGGTGGAAAAGAATGGAGTGCAGAAAGAAATGGAAATGCCTGTGGGTGTTTAGATTATGCACACCACTGGTGAAAACAAAATTCATGAGCCAGTGATGTTGGCAATCTCTCTCTCTCTTTTTTTTTTTTTTTTTTTTTAAGAGACACAGTATCACTGTCGCCCAGGCCGGGGTACAGTGGCACGGTCAGCTCAGTGCAACCCAAACTTCTGGGCTCAAGCGATCCTCATGCCTCAGCCTCCCAAGCAGCTGGGATTATAGGCAGGCGCGTGCCATTATACATGGCAGTGTTAGCAATTTCTTATCTTTGCCTCACTCCTTATACTGAAATTCCAGTGAGATTACAGTACAGGTGATAAATGAAATCACAGAAATTGTAGAAGGAAGCCAGGATGACTTGTTTATAATTTTGGGATAATGAAGACCTTCTAAGTAGGACATAAATTCTAGAAGTCAAGATTGATTTACTATCCAGATTAAGAACTTCAGTATCACAAAAATGATGTAGACCAAGTGGGGAACGTATTTGCCACAATTTGACTAATATAAGTAGGATTGATTGTCTTCAAATCCAAAGATATTTTACTTATCCATAAGAAAAACAAAGTGCCAACATAAAAATGGTGAACACATTTCAAAACTTGTAGTAAAAGAAACTAAAATGGTCAATGAAAATGAAAGATGCTGAATTTTATTCAAAAATTTTAGGTAGCAAAATAGTTCATCCAGGCATAGGTACAGGTTGCCTGTTTAAAAGCAAAAAAAAAGAAAAACAGCAACCATAAATGGAAGACAGCATAAATTATATAGTGCAATCACTCAGTGGAGTACTGTGCAGTAGAGTATTCCAAACACTGAGGTATCTCTGTTGATACTAGATTCCAAAATGCACTATTGTATACCTCATTTTTTCACTTAGCAGTGTGTTCTTTCTGTCTTTAAAATGACGGATCGTTTGGAAGAGGGTAGGGAGTAGGGGGCTGGTGAGTGTGACTAGAGTCAGGTAAACTGTTCCAGGGGCCTTTGCACTAGTTTTGGTGAGAGACAAAGACCTGAGTAGGCCAGCAAGCCTGGAGGAGAGGCTGTCTGTGTATTTAATTGATTCATAGCTTTATTTTCCCACTAGTCACTTAAATACACATTTCTTTTGTGAATTTTTATTTAAATGATTTTTCTTGTTACTGGATCTATAAACGGCCTAATTCCAAGGAATCTGGTATCTCTCCGTTGAGCATACAGGTGACTTCGTCTAACTGTATTAGTACCTACCAAAATTGGAAATCATTCCTCTCTTTGTTTAAATTGCAGTGGAACAAATTTTCAAAACGGATTTCTTCAAATGAACAAAATGTTTTGGGCCTCAGAGGTGGTGTGGCTCACTTGGTCAAGGGCATAGGCAATGAAAGATTTAAGCCCTGCCATTGCTCACCTCTCTGGGTACAACCCGGTGACTTTCAGTGGGAAGAGAGTTTCCTGACTCCTTTTATTACCTTCCTGAGGGTAGACTTTGGGCCTGCAATGACCTGCAGTCGTAACTCTTCGAAACTGAGGACAAGTTTATCTTTTCTAATAGAAGCATGACAGCAAGTCAATTCAAACACCAAACAAAGAGGCTTTAGGCCATAGATTGTACAAATGTTTACATTTGCTTAATAATCTATATTTCTGGGAAAGGGGGACACAGATCTTGGTGTATATACTTAAGAAAAATCATTTATTTCCATTTGCTTCACATGAGAAAGAAAAAAAGGTACAGTAGTGATGGAGGGTCTTGGCATTTTCCTGAGGGTCCTAGCCTGCTTCTCCATCCTCAAGAGCTGCCCATTCTTCTCCACCTGCATTGTGCTCCCACAGGACACGCTCTAGTAATTCCTCAAAAATGTGATACTGCTGCTCCTTTAGCTAAGATAGGCTTCACCCTTGTGTACATAGCAACACCTATTCAATTTTCAAAGCCCAGTGGTTGTATCCTGCCTGTCATTCCCTGCAAACAGCTAGTTCATGACCCCCTCTTCAATGGGGCCTTGATACCTTGTACATACTTCCATGATTGCATTTATCACCCTGCGGTCTGATTATTTACATGTCTTATCTCCCTTGACATAGGTACCTGACATATATTTTCACTCTAACCTTGAAAGGCAGATTGTATTGGCCTACTTTATTAATGTGGAAACTGAGGCTAAGGGGTGAAGCAGTTTGCTTTAGGTCACTATGGAGCTTTCTCATCTGTCACTTTGGCTTTTGTTGTCCTGATTAGACCTTCATTATTGTCAGTATCTCTAACTTTATTTCCTAAAAATTTATAATTTTTTGTTATGTGGATAA